CTTAATGTATTGAAACAGATTAACCAACTAGAATATGAACCACAGCCAGATTGAACAAAGACATTTTGAAGGGGAAAATGGAAAAAAAAAGACAAACAGGCACCCCAAATAGTATCTTCATGTCTCAGTCTTACTCCTGGCCCCAGTCAGGCAGGTTTACAGTCACAAGTTCACATACCCAGTGTGTACTTGGGGACCTCAGAAAGTGAACCAGGGACCTTCCCATATGACTTCGGCATCACAGAGTGTTGTTATTTACACCACCACAGCTGGCATCAATCTTTCTTATCATCCTGCTTACTGTTACCAAGAACTGTTACAACTGTTCTCATTTAATTCTCCCTCAAAGCCTATGATGTTAGGGCTATCATTAATAAAATTGATTGAAAAAACTAAGGCTGAAGAGGTTAAGTAACTCCCCCAAGGTCAGATAGCTATTATTTGTCAGGTCAGGACTCAAACCCAGCCATTTGTGGTGGCAAAGTCCACTCTGAAAAATAAACAACAACAAAAAATGATATAGTTCTCAAAAATATACATACCTTCCAATAATTAGACAAGGTATAAGTTCTGTTGTTATTTTCCCAAATTGAGGAAATTTTAGCTTACTAAATAAGATTAGTATATAAAACAGTCTGAAATTTTGCCTGTTATATTATTGCATAATAATTATTCAGTTAACATTCAAACTACTGTGTGTATACAATGGTATTTTGTTTGATATTTGGTGAACTGAAATGATAACAGCCCCTAGGGTATTGATATAAGGTCAGTTTAGATATCATCTAAAATGTAGTGTCCACTTTGCAATGTTTGACTTGTGTTTTGGAATGTGTGCTCTTGTTTATATTTCCTTGATTTTTTTAGTGACAATGGGCTCTTCAGTGTGGTACATATACTCTATGGAATACTCCTCAGCCATTAAAAAATACAACAAGACCTTGGCTTTTGACAGAAAGTGGATGAGTATGGAAATTTTACTGCTGAGTGAAGTATGCCAAACTATGAAGGAGAAACACTGTATGTCTCCACTTAATGTATACCGAGTTTCCACACTCTGTAGCCAAAACTGAATGACTAGAGGACATAGAAACATAGAAAATGGTTATAGATGCCAGATACAGTGTGGGAAGAGGGTGGAAGAAGGAAGAGAGTCTGAAGAAGGACATTAAGGAGAAAAATAGAGAGGCAAGGCATTTATGGGACAAAGAAATGGGTTATTATCTGTTGAAGATAACGTGTATAGTATTCTCAACTGGACGGTGAGAAATGTATACATGTTGGAATATTCACTTTGTAAGCTAACTAGCATAACATATATGGTTGAATGTATAAAAGAAATTGAAATAAAATATATTTTTAAAAAGTAATTATAAAACAGAACAAGGGGACAAGGTGTTGAATAAGAATATATGGTGATAGGAGCAGAAGCTGGAGTGATATAATTAAAAATTGAAGAAAGAGACTACAAGCCAAGAAATTCAGGCAGCCTCTAGAAACAAGAAAATCAAGTAAAGGACTCAGTGTAGTCAGATCCCACATGACTGACTGTGGTTTGAAGCCTGGCTCTAGCGACTTGAAATGCACACCAGGCAAATGTCTGAGCATGTCCAAAATTCCTGACAGGATGGAGAAATGAAGGAGAATGGATCGTGGCATGACCATGCCCCATCAAGGTGTGCTTTCTCCTTTTCTCTCATCTCCCTCCCCAGTCACTCTCTATAAAGCATGCATGCCCACTGGCAATGAAAAAACAATGAAAAAAATCTTAGTTAAAAATATTCTAATAAAACATATTTATATAAAATACATGAATAAAATATATTTGATTAAAATTCATAACAAAACAAAAGGATGTTAGCTTGCTCTCCCTTAGTACTGTACTGAATAATATAGTTCTGCATTGTCAAGTTGTTGTTTCTGACTTGTATGAGCCCTACAAAGATCAATGAATTCTTAACTCGCTGTATTTATTTTTTATTTTTGCTTTAGGTAATGTGTGCTCACCAGAGAGAGATAGAGAGGGAAGTGAGAGATCACCCTCTAGGGGGTATGGCCATGCCACAATTCCTTCTTCAGTTTCCTTTTGGGATTTTGGATATGCATACACATGTTCCTGGCATTTTTCAAGCCACCAGCTCCAGGACTCAAACCTCACAGTTGGGCATGTGAGACCTAGCCCTTGACTTCCAAACTATCTGCTGGCCTCTTAACTCACTATTAGGTCATCAGGAAAGTCATGATGTATTTTTCAATGTTTTCCTATACAAAAGTGCATCATAACTTTCCTGACAACCCAATATTCTATAAAAGGCCAGGGTACTGAAAATTTGCTCAGTGCCAGCATAACTTTCATATATAAAACATGGACACAGAAGTAATTCTGATAACTAGACTGGTGACTCTTACTAGAATATACATAAAGAGTATCAACTGTAATGTTCTTTCACTGGATTATAAGCTTAGAGAAAGCAGATAATTTGTCTCTCTTGTTTAGCATTGTTTCTCTAAAGCAGGATTTCTCACCCTTGACACTACTAACATTTTGGACTAGATAATTCTTTGTTGTGAGGGGCTGTTTTTTGCATTGTAAGATGTTTAGCAGTGTCCCAAGCCTCAACCCACTAGATGCCAACAATACCCCTCCCCAGTTGTGACAAACAAAAATATCTCTACACATTGCCAAATGTCATCCCCAGTTGAGAACCACTGCTTTAAAGAGTAGAACAGTGCCTGGCAAATAAAAGACATTTACCAAATATTTTTGGATTGACTGAAGGCAAGAATGACCAGTGTTCCACAAAGTGTACTGTTTGTTATATTCTTTGCACATCTACGTGGAACCTGGAAAATTTTCTAGAGCTTTAACAGTTACACATTTTTATATATATTAGAATAGAACATTCTGGCCCAGCCTCAGTGGCACAGTTGGTAGTATGCTGTGGGTTCAGATTCCCACTCTGGTAAACCTGAAACACACTTGGAGTATTTGTATGCCTAAAATCCTAATGAGCTGGAGGCCTGGGGGGGGGGGGGATCAGGGCATGATGAGACCCTGTTAATGGTGATACTCTTTTTTGCATGCTTGCATACTGTCTATCACAAATAAAATAAACAGGAAAAAAAAAGAAAAAATCAAGATTCTTATCTTTAGAGGCTTAGTTCTGGAATGCTAGATGAGGTAGCTGACAGGTATTAGTGATTTCTGCCTCCTTGGTTTCATCTTCCCCTGGAAGATTCCTGTCTCTGATGATGTTGTCTCTACCATGCTGACCTCTAGAGAGGCAATTCCTCTTTGAAAATCCTGGCTTATACCCGACAGCCTTTTCCTTTGTGGTTCCCCCTAACACAACTGAAATAGGTTTGATTCTTTTCAAAAAGACTTCATTAAAAATTGAAAAGTAAACAAGAAATAAAATGCAAGAAGTCCTGCCAGATTTCCCTAGCATCTCTGATGTCACTATCCCTGTTAAGCTACTTTCACCCCTCAATCTCCTTTCCTTCTGTTGCCAGAGACATCTTCTTAAAATTCAAATTTATCTTTATCATTTCCCTGCTTCACTCTTTCATGGCTTCTCATTTGTATATAGATTATATTTTAATAAACTTTCTTTTGTTTTCTTCTGGATTAAGAAAGGTTATATAAATTCTATTTCCATAGTGATTAAATTTTTATCTGATGTGGAGAGCTTACAGTTAAAATTTAAATGATACTTGGGAAGGGTGAGGACATTCCTGTGAATATAGGCAAGAGTTCTTTCCTAAAGAGTTCCCAGAATAGCTTCATCTGAAGAGTCATGGGAGGTTGCTGGATATCAAACTCTGCTTCCTATAGTGCTGAGTTTCTGATGAGGCATATCCAGGGCTGCCTCCAGGAGAAATATCAGTGTGGGATTATAGCCTTCTACCTCAGTTCAACCTGAACAGTTCTGTCCTAATCAATTTTATCTATTGCTGGCCTTTATTTTTATTATTATTTTTTTGCTAAAGGATATGGTTTGCCAGAGAGAAACAGAGGGAGAGGACAAAGCATTCCCCCCCCGCCCATGGGGAGTGGTCATGCAGCAATCCTTTCTTTTCCATCTCTTCCTCTTTTGGGGAATTTACGCATATATGCAAATATCCCAGCATGTTTCTCAAACCACCAGGTCCAGGACTTGAACCGCATATTTAACCATGTGTGATCTGGCTTCCTTAACCATCATGTCATGGAGCTGGACCAATAGATTATGTTTTACAACCTTACTTCTCAGGTGCTTAGCTCTATGTTGGCCACGTGACAAGTGAACAATACACTTGTGGTAGCTCTGTGATTGAACCTTGTAAGAAAAGGAAGTGTTATGATATGAATTAGCTTCTGTATATGTGTTTGTTTCTCTCATCTTTTAAAAAGAGTTCCTGATCCCCTATATATACCTTCCCTCTGTAATTGGGATATGTATTTCTTTTTCTGTTTCTCCAAAGGTTTCTGCTGTCAGTAGTTCATGGTCACTGATTCATACTCTTTATTGGGAATAACTCTCTGGACTGCTTTGCCTCAAGTATAATTTGATTAGGGGTGCTGCTGTTTGACACCATTAGGAAGGCATTGGATTTGTCACAGAATGATATTGAAGGAGAGCCAGGGACAGGAAAGATAATAACATGCTAGCCTGGTTATTAACATTGGACTTTTTGGCATTTTTGCATGCTGATTTTTGCCTTAAGAGATAAACATGTGAATAATATGACGATTTTATTTAGCAAGGGCAGAGATTACTACCAGAAAAAGAAGGCCATATTAAGTTGATATAGAGCCCATACTTCTAGAATACTGTGATTCTATCCTCTAAGGTTAGATATTTGTTTGTGATGGGGAAAACATTTTTGTAAGGGAGTGAGATTGGACTGCTCTGAAATGAAATGCTCACATTGACCACATCAGCTGTAATGGAGCTTATCTGATATAGTGACTCAGCCTCTGTGAATCTGACCATGTGTCTGTGTTCCCTTTTGTACAGGGCATCATCAGCCAGGAGCCTACTGGAGACCACGAGAAAACATGGGGAGAGGTAAGTTTCTCTTCCCCTTTAAGTAATGTAGAATCTCTCCATAGTAATACTGGAGCCAGGATATAAATTTCCGACTCAAAGTATTTCTGTGGATACCTAAATTGTATTTCTTGTTAGTGTTAGAAAGTTTTTATCTGGGAACCAGCAGTTAGCTATGTCGCTGGATTCCCACGTAGTCGACCGCGGTTCGTGCCTGGACCCAGTGGCTTAGAACTCACGCTGGGCACGTGTGCGTGCATGCCCAAGATCCCGAGAGGAGAATGGAGGAGAAGGGATTGCGACGTGACCATCCCCTCTGGGGGGTGATTTCTCGCTTTCTGTCTCTATGTCTCTTTCTGTCTGTCTGGCTAGCCCACAAGCCCTATAGCGAAAACCTCTGAAAAAAAAAAAGTTTTTATCTGAAGTAGGACTATGCAGAGAAAGGCCAATATACCACATGCTGCTGCTGGGTCTCTTGTGGACATCTCTCAGTACAGGGAAAGATGGCTCAAATTTGATAATGATAGAGACCTGCCCAAAATCCAGCTTCTTTATAATGCTTAGCAAAGTTACCTATATGCTTCTGATGGCATCTAAAGTTTCATCTTTAATTTTATCATAATTAGAATGACTTTTTTTTGTAGAGGTTTTTGCCTTAGGGCACATGTGCTCTCTGGAGAGAGAGATAGACAGAGTAAGAGGGGAAGCAAGAAATCACCTCCCCGGGGGGTGGCCATGCCACAATCACTTCTCCTCCTTTTTTTGTCTTGGGATTTGGGGCACATGTGCACATGCACCCTGTAGGAGATTTAAGCCACCGGGTCTGGGACTCAAACTGTGTTCAGTCATATGGAAATCCAGCAAATGACATAAATGCTATGCCATCTGCTGGTCCCCAAAATTAAATTTATTTTAAGAATTATCTTATTTAACTTTATTTATTTATTTAAATTTGACCAGAGAGAGAGAGAGAAGGCTGCCAGGTCTGGGACTCGAACTGTGGTCGACCATGTGAGAGTCCAGTGCCCTTAACCACCACACCACATGCCAACCCCCAAAATTAAAAAAAATTTAAAGTAAAAATGGTTACGTGCTTGCTGAGAAAAGACAGAGAAAAACAGAAAGCATCCCCATGGCGAATGGTCATGCTACGATCCCTTCTCCTCAACTTCCTCCTCCTTTTGAGGTTTGGGGCATGCATGCATGTGTATCCAATGTGTTTTTCAAGCCAAACCAAGACCTATACTGCCATTAGTTGGCTCACTGAGTCTTTTTTTTTTTTTTTAAATATATTAATGTAAACCCCAAAAAAAAAAAAGAGATTCTTTTGTGAAACGCAAAAACAGTAACTTCATCTTTGAGGTTGATTTAGAAATGCTTTTAGTTTCCCTTAAAATGTTAAAGCACAGTATGAAAAACCATTAGATGAATTCCTTGTGTTCGTTTTTTCTTTCTTCTTATATATATATAAATTCATTTGTTTTTACATTTAATCACTGTGTATCATTACAGCATAACAAATGAATTTTCCCATCATGAATATACTTCAAATTGGTCCAGTCAAAGACATTACCATATACATTATAATCAGCAGATTTCTTTCCATTTTGGGTCCCTTAAATGTTTTGCTTCTTTTTTCTTTCCCTTGATTCTCTCTCTCTTACCCTCCCCCATTTTCCAACCTTCTCATCCAGTGTCTCCAATATTGCTCTCTATACTTGGATACCTTCTAATCAGTTTCTGCCATAGAGCACTGACATTCAGTATATATTGAGTGGGGATATATAATGCCTCTCTTTCACAGTCTGGTTTGCTTCACTTAGCAGTAAATCTTCCATATTTGTCCACTTTCTGTAGAATGCCATGGTCTCATTGTTTTTTATAGCTGAGTGGTATTTTGTAGTGCATATGCTCCACATTTTTCAATCATAAAGCTTCTTATGTGAAGTGAACAAAATAACATTTAATTTATTGTTAATAATATTAATTATTAATGAAAATTTAACTTCATAAATAATTCTAATCAATTTTTAATAGATCAGAAATGAAATGAAAGTGCTGGGGCCAGCATTCGGCATGGTGGTTAAGGGCACTAGACTCCACATGGCCAACCACTGTTCGACTCCTTGACCTGGTGGCTTGCTTTTTCACTTTCTGTCTCTCTCACTCTCTCACACTCTGTCCTTCTCTGGTAAAATTTAAATAAATAAATAATTAAATTAAATTAAATTACTATAAAAAAAGAAAATCAGAGTGCCCTAAAAGGACCTCAGAGGGAGATATGGTATGGTATAGTGAGAAGAGTACAGGACAGAGTCAGAAGTGCTGAATTCAAGTTCTACCTCTACTACTTTGATCAAATACTAGGGCCTGCCTAAAATTGTTTATACATCTCTAAAGCAGAATTAATACATTCTGCACTTTTAGCCTCAGGAAGTTGTGGTTGGCTTAATGTGATATTACAGATGAAAGTGTTTTGAGAACTCTCAAGTATAATGGAATAGAACAGTACTGTCTGCTCACCGCTGTCATTATTGAATAAGTTTATCTTCACTGATTCTTTTAACAGCAAAAATGAAGTTATTTAAATCTGACGCTTTCCTGGGCAGTAGGGCTAGGACTGGGGTCACACTAATAATTGAGAATTTCTCCTTAGGTTGTACTTTGCATGCCTCAAATTTGTATGGGCTCTGGTAGGCAACCTCAAGGATTACAGATCGATCATGGAATTTATCTTCCTAAACCTTGTTGAGTCAGCTTTCATTCCTGTTTTCTTTGAGCTTGTCTTGGAAATTAATTAGTTTTAGGGATTTTTTTTTCAAAACTTAACAAAAGATCTCTGATGGTTTAGAAATTTAAAAAATAAATTTAAAAATGGAAAAACAAGAGGACCAGCAGATGGAGTAATGATTATATCTCTGGACTCCTACATAGCTGACCATGGTTCAAGTCCCAGACCCAGCAGCTTAAAACTCATGTCGGGCGAGTATGCATGTGAGCCCAAGATCCCAAGAAGAGCATGGAGGAGAAGGGATTACGGTGTGGTCATCCCCCTGGGGGGTGATTTCTCACATCCCCTCTGTCTCTTTTTGTCTCTCTTTGTCTCTCTGGCAATCACATGTGCCCTGTAATAAAAATCTTTCTCTCCAAAAAAAAAAAAAGTAAAAACTAGTCACAGTTCAGGGACTAATCTATGCCATGTCCTCCTTTCAAGT